CTAACGCTTTACAGGATAAAAACAACAATAACAACAACAACAATATTGTATTTCATTGCACTTTGATAGATCGTCCTTAAATCAATTGTTGACTCTTCTCTCTTTACTACTTGTTTGGAGTGACTAAGCTCCACTCTGTACCACACAATGATCCCCCCAGAGTCTCTGGTGATTTAGGGTTTTTTGACAGAGGGCAAAAAACTCTATCTCTCGCTTGCCCTCTCCCCGTGTATTGTCTGTTTTTTTGTGCTGTCCTTTGACAAAACAAGGCTTGCCAGATAATGTGAATCGAAACCTGTTTTTCTAGCTTTTAAAGTCGTGCGATGTGTAAGTGGGAACACATCATTATATCTTACATATGAAAAATAAATAATATAGCTCCCAAACAAACGCAGACGTGTTTTTAATAAAATGCTTTTATTCACTCATAATCTGACAATTTCAGGAAGACTAAGGAAGGACTAAGGGAATTGTCATCTGTTGTTGAAGCTCTGGGAGCTCGGTGACTTTGAGACCACTTGTTATCCCAGGTTGTTTGAATCACCACAATTCAAATAGAGAAAAAAGAGCTTTCTAAAGAGTTTCTAAATCCCACATTGAAAAAACACCAGTATGTCCAAATTTCAGCAGGCAGAATCCTGTCCAGGTCTAGTGCAAGTGATCACATTACTCCTATCCTGGAGTCCTTGCACTGGCTTCCTGTTTTGTGTCAACTTAACAATCTTCCAGCTCACCTTTAAGGCTCTCCATGGCTTGGTACCTCTCTGAGTTATCGCCCTACTCCCCACCTCACAACCTTCGCTCTTCTAATTGTGTTCTCCAATCTGTCCCCCAGTCCATCTACACTCAATGGGTGACATGGCCTTCTCCTGTTATGCATCCAATGCTCTGGAACTCTCTCCCCAAGGATATCTCTGAACTCCTTCAAATCCAGACTCAAAACCTTCTTCTTTAGAAGACCCTTTATTGAACTGTTCCTTACCCCTCTGCTCCTACTGTACTTAGTACCACCATCTACTGTCTCCTCTAACTGTGTGTTCTCATCGTGCTTATGTTATGTATTTTTTGTTGTTGGCCTTCTGTAGAGTGCTTTGAGAAGCCACCTTTAAAGGTGCTATATAAAATAAAGTTTATTATTATAAAGGTCTTGTTTTCTTGTCCCGTGTTTACAGGCTCAGAGGCCAGTGCTCTCCCTGATGCTGGGGAAAGGGATCCTCTTGAACAGCAGCACAGTGAGGAGGAGTGGGGCTCCAGTCTGATGCAGGAGACAGTGCTCACTGCTGTAGAAGGGAAAGAGAAACTCAGTGAACAGCACACAGAGAACAGATGGAGTGTCGAGGATCTGGATTCTATGCCCATGTTGAAGACAGAACCTGAGAGTGAGACACCTGGGCTCTTAGTATGTGATGCTTTTAAAGAGAAGATTAATAATGTGGACACGAACAGTATTACTCAAGGTTGTAATGAACTGGACTGTGACTCTGTGCAAGAGTACAAAGAAGAACTGGATGACTTTAATCTTACAGAGCAGGACATGGAGCCCCAGTTGATTGACCCTGCAGAGCAGCAGACTGAAGTACCTGGTGAAGAGAACAGTACTGAGTTACAGCACACAGAGAAGAGTCAGGACAGGGAGGAGCAACAGCAGGTCCTACAGGGCTTGATAATAATTAGGCCTTGTTCTGTTCAAGTGGAGAGACTGCCATTGCAGAGTCTAAAACAATCATATGATACCTTAGTATCTGATGGCTTTACACACAGGTTTAATAATCTGGTTACTGAGAAAATTGTTGAAAGTTTTAATGAACTGGAGACTATGTTTGTTCTTGGGCACAGAGAGGAACTGAATGAACTGGATGGTGTTAGTCTCAGAGAGCTGGAGAAGGAGCCCCAGATGATTCACACGGCTGAGCAGCACACTAAAGGACACAGTGGAGAAACCCAATCTCAGTTTCAGCACAAAGAGCAAAACTATTCCATGGAGCATTTGCAGAATAAGATGTCCCAGCACGATCAGAGGATGAGGAAGAATCACTCAAGGCCTTCCTCAGATGGAATGGACAAACTGCAATTATGGCACAGGGAGGAGCAAAGTTTGTGTCAGTCTAACATTTCAAACCCCTACCAGCGCATTCATGCAGGAGGGAGACATTTCAGCTGCAGTCAGTGTGGAAAGAGTTTTAGTGGGTCAAGTAAATTAAGAACCCACCAGCGCATTCACACAGGAGAGAGACCATTCAGCTGCAGTCAGTGTGGGAAGAGTTTTA